TTTCTGCCTTTTTTTGTGGCTTTTTTCCCATATGGTACACTTTTCAGCGCTCCTAATTCGGCCTACCGACCGTTAATACCATTATATCTGTCACGTCATTCACATTTTATGGAGCAGATTTGCTAGGATTGAGAAAACCTATTTCGTTTCAGATTCATGTTGGTAAAGTTAACGTTAGTTTTTTTTAAAGTGAGTTTACAATTATTAATAATATTTTACTCTAATATTTGGCTGCGTGAAAAGTGCGGGAGGTCTATGGTTCTCTCTCTCAGGAGCGCGTGAACTCCCCTCTCGCGCACTTTGAGCGCGAGCGCTCTCGCGTGAATTCCTCTCTCACGCAATCTGAGCGCGAGCGCTCTCTCTATTTACATTGAGAGAGTGAGTGAGAGACAGAAATGACTAAGCATACAATAAGCCTACCCGTGTGAGATTATAATATTAATTGCACTTTTTATATAATAAAAAAAAGCAGTAAAGGTACAACATTTATACTTGGGAAAAATTTATTTTGTGGTGAGTGAACCTTTAATTAAACAGTATATTAGCCGATGTGCCGTGTAATGTGTAATTTTTTGTTGTTGTTGTTGTTTTTATTTTTTGTCATCTAGATTTGTAGATTTGACATCTAGACGTGTAAATATACGTTTTCTGTAGATTATTGTTGTTTTGCACTGTTTGATTGGTCATGTAGGACCAGTGAATATTCATTGTGTTTCCAAACTTTAAAATAATACAGTAATAATAAAGTAATTATGTGATCAACATGTTTCCAACATGTTTTATTTTGTTACACATAGCCTATGTTGAACATATGTTCAACTAAATACTTAAGAAAGGTACATTTCGTCCCTCAGAAAAAAATTGCTCGCATGCTCAACTCATTGGCTCATCGATTCTCATATGTCGAACGTGTCCGAAAGAAACAGTTCTCGGTTCTGTACTGGTGATTCGAGAACTGCTGTAGGCTACCTGTGTGTTCGGTAGTACACGCATGCGCAGTATCAGCTGCTCGTGCTCATCACTTCTCTCTCAGTCAGCACCAACATGTCTCAGTTCAGTGAATTGATGGAGTTACTGGAGTAAAATATACTCCGGGATATTGGTTTATTTCGATTCAGAGGTACTGTCAGGCATGTCTGAAAGTGAGTAACTTTATTAACTTGTGGATCAGCGCTGACGTAAGACGCGAACTGTTTCGAACGATTCAGTCCGATTTAGTGTACTGGTTCGACCGGTTCACTAAAAAGAACCCGTTCAAAAGAACGATTCGTTCACGAACCGGCCTCGAATCGCGGCTTTATCTGGCACGCCCATTTTTTTCTTGACACAAGCTCCGACGCCTCGGTTCAAATGTCACATCACTAACTGTAAGTAATCACATACTTATTGAACATTCTCAAAGAACGCTAATCCGCCTGTATCCGTGTTTACATGCAATGTTGTTTACTAGAGTAGCCTACTGCGAGTCTACGTTCATGAAGAGCCTATTTATTGAGCTTAAGTTAGCTTTGAAATAAAATAAAATAAATATTTTCTTCCTTCTGAATAAGAATCTAAGTTTCAAACCTGTGATTTGTTAGTGTGGCTGCCTGCTGTTGACAAGAGGATTTTTCGCTTATCTCTTTACTCTACAAATGAGTTTCGTTTCCTGAAAAGGATACACCCAGAGGCTTTTAAACTCAACCTCTCACACATACACAGTCAGCAGTTCGAGCGTCCCAGCTGCGTTGACCTAAGATGGATCACATTCACTGTAAGTAGCCTATACCTGTTAAATGTTTAATATTCATCTATCACAGTAATCATAACCTGTTTGCTTTCTTATAAGGTATACTGATTGCAGCTGGTGTAGGAGCAGGTAAAAGAAATCCGGACTCTCGTTTTACTAGACAAAAGACATTATTTTAAAGCTGCAGTCCGCAGTTTTTCCTCTTTGTCGCCATCTCTGTTCGAAATCTGCAATTGCAGTTATTCGCGGAATTATCAACTTTACGTGATCGAGTTGTACTTCGACACGGCACAGCGCGGATGAACACAATGTTTGAGGAAAGTGTGCAGCTGTCAGTCACCGCGCCGGTGTGGATACTGGCATTCAGAATCACAGATTACTCTTTTTGGAAGTATGACCAACATAATAATTTTCACCGGAAAATGTCATCTGAACAAGTAAGTAACATTCACTTTTGTTCTGGTTCTGACATTGCAGTAAATCGCGCTGATTAAATCTAAAAATCGCTTATCATATCACGCAAAACCGTGCAAATTATACTTTGTTCTCAAATTAACAACGTCAGCATTGCGTGACTACATATGTCCTTTCGATATAAATCCTTGTTTTCGCATGGGTCCGGTGTCAGTCTCTTCTTTTCTGTAAGTTAGCCACTCCGAAGTCCGAACGAAGTCCTTTGCATTTTATAACGGGTGAGTGCAGTTGTCACTGGGGATTGACGTTTGAACCTTTCTGGATCCGCCATCAAATTAATAAGTTTAATTATATTAAGTGCTGTGAGAAAAGGCTATAAGTCTCCACCTCCAACATCCTCACACACAATATAGCCTACTAGCCGAGACTCTTCTTTATGTGTACAGATGTGACGTAATGACGCAAAGACATGCTCGAATCTCCCGCGGAAATCCACCAGTACCACTGGAATTAAAAACATTATTACAAGCTTACCGTTTTGAATCGAGCTAAGGCAAGCAGAGAGTTTTGAACACTGGCTGGTTATGTATTTTCTCAAATATGTATTTAGGATAATTTTTAACCCAAAAAAAGCTACGGACTGCAGCTTTAACTGTTAATTTCTGCAACACAAATAATGGCCAACTGGTTTAAGTGGCTTTTAAATGTTTATCCATCTAAGTTTGTTCAAATATGCCATGTTTTCACCAATTATATAGGAGTTGGAGTTGCAGCAGTTGTAGCAGTTCCTGTTATTATAGCATGTTTAGGTTTCACCGCACGTGGAATTGCTAGAGGTTCAGTTGCCTCCTCTATGATGTCATATTCTGCCATGTCGAACGGAGGAGGGGTCAGAGCTGGAGGCGTGGTAGCTACTCTTCAATCCATAGGTGAGCTAAACATAACAAATCATAAATTATAATTCTGCCAGCAGGCGGTATATGGCAAGCTGTTTTAACATTTAATCATTTAAACTAGTAGGCTATCTATTTTCATGCTACTAGTACTTATTTTTTAGATAGTATCTATTCCATTAAGTATATTAGTACTTTTTCATTAGCTACTAGTGCTTATTCTTTGGGTAGGCTACTAGTGCCTATTCTTTAGATACTATTGCTTATTCTTTAGGTACTAGTACCTTTATAAAGATACTAGTACTTATTCATTAGATACTAGTACTTTTCTCTCTGAAAAGGATGGATGTTCAACATGGCACCTCATGGCAAAGAACTCTCTAAGGATTTGAGAATTAGAATTGTTGCTCTCCACAAAGATGGCCTTACTCGTACTCATCATTACAGTCTTCAGTGTTCAGTGTCACTTCCTTCAGAAATCATTCTAATATGCTGATTTGCTCAATAAACGTTTATTATTATTATTAAAGTTGAAAACAGTTATGTAAAAAAAAAAATTCAGGATTCTCTGATGAATAGTTCAAATAGTTCAAAAGAACAGCATTTATCTGAAATGACTAATGAGCTTTTGTTATTATTCAAATATTGTTATTGGATTTTGAATTGTAAACACTTATAACACACTTAACAAGTCCCCATACAGCAACCCCAACATACAAAAAAAAAAAACACTGACATGTTACAGAGTTACAGAGCTTGTGAATCAATTATGTCCCAGTGTTTCCTGCAGGAAGTCGTAGGTTAAAATAATCCAGAAATGGCTGCCAGACCGTATAAAATCTCTGGGTTGACCCCCTGATCGCGTATTTCAACTTCTCAAGTTTCAAGTGTGCCATTACATCCTCAACCCAGCACCTGTGTGTAGGAGGCATATCTGACTTCCAATTGCGCAAAATAAGACGTCTGGCCAATAAAGATGAAAACGCAATGGCGTCTGATTGTGTATCAGATATTGTCATCCCAGCAGGGGTCACACCAAATATTGCGATTTCAGGGGCAGGCATTTCACAATATTACTCATTATACATTATACAACATTATAAATCTTACCAATCAAAAATTTTGCACAAAATGCATTAGATAAGGTATGGGGAACGATTCAGACAGCGTAAATATGCTTTCCATTGAGTCCAGAGACATGATAGCACAGAGCAGATCATATAAATGGCACTATATTATATCATATTAAAAAGGTTTACCATGCATCATCTTGCTCAGAGTAAATAAATAAATAAATGTAGACAAACACTTCTATAAATAAATACAATTACTATACAATACAAATAAATGTATAAATAAATAAATGAAAAAATTATTATGGAAAAAATACAATTATACATAAATAAATGAAAGTATAAGAAATAATGTATTCTTTGTATGTTTATTTAATTGTATTTTTTTTTACATTTCTTTGTATATTTATTTATTTACGCATTAATTTACGTGTTATTTTGGCAGACATGGCATTCCATATTTGATTGACTGGTTCTGAAATCTTTATTTTATTTAGGTACCGCTGGAATCTGTATTATAGTTGTGGTTGTTATAGGCGCCATAGGAGGCACTGTGGCTGGAGCTGTAATTGGAACACGTACATGCAAAGCAGGAGACGCAGGTGAATCCATAATTCTCTTGAGTACTGAATAGTTGTTATTATTATTAATTTGGATTCTTTACAAGGAACTGTATAACTGCTGTATAACACTCCCCAAAATTAGATTTAACATCTGTTTATCCAACTAAATAAGTTAAATGTTTTTTTGTTTTTTTTTATCGCAACAGTATCTGTGAACATCTTCTATGTTTGATGTAGCATTGTGAATTGTTGCTCTGGAAATGCACAAAGTGAGATTTTAAACTAATTATCGTTTTCTAAAATAAGTCCTGTTGTGGTTTGTCATTAGGTGCTACTACAATCATCCCGGTCACAGGCCAAGGCATGGTGGGAGACGCTGTGAGCGCTACAGTTGCCGGCTTAATTTCCAACTACACTGTGTAACGGGATCACTGTATCTGTGCTTTAATGCCCCAACAGGTCCTTCACAGTTTGATAGATTTCTATTCATGAAATCAAACACAGCATTTAACTAATGCATGCATGACCATAAACATAAGCACTTACTAGGCTAGTAATAGTAAAAAATAATCTCTTACTCTTCTGTAATCTATCTTATACTTCAAAATGTATATTGTATGATTTTTATTTGCTCTTATGATAAATTACTTGTGATGTGATGTTTTTATAAATGGATCTTAACGAGTAAATTATTAAAGAAAACGGTTTAAATTAAACTATGATTCTAATTAAAAACTATTCTTATAAAGCCACGATGACAGTCTGTGTCTTGTATTTTCCCAAAGCAAACCGTACAGCATAATGCTAGCAACACCAAGGTCTTCCTTTCTTTCAAGGTCTAACCTTATTGCCAGGGAAAGCTTGAACTCCTATTATTCCTATACCTTGAATGCATTTTAAAAGTCATTTTAGATAAGAGTGTCTATGGAAGCATATGGGTAGCAATATTCAATTTGAAATGTAATATGCAAAATGACAATGCAATATGTAAAATGGCATTGCATTCTGTATTTAAATTTACATTTTACATTACCATTCTAGCAACGTTTGGTGCAAAATGAAAAGGCAAATGTAAATTATGTAATTTCATTTTCAATTTCATACACTAGTTTTAATATGCATATTGAAACGCTTTATAAGTTGCAAAATTAAAATGAAAATGCATTACAGAAATGATTAGATATGTGTAGCATGTTCAAGCAAAAACTGTGGCAAAATGATCATTCAAATGTTATTTTTCTTAATTGCATTTACACTCACAGTCAAGACACTTGCGATTGCATTTTCATGAAATGTCCCGCAATGAATGTAGCAAAATTCAATGTGCACATTGAAAATGCATTCCGAGCCGATCACGCCCCCTCCTGCCCTGTCAATCACTGCATCAAGGCGGGGCTTAAGTTGTGTTGTTTCTCTCTATGCAGAGCCATCAAAGCGTGTCGCAACTCTTTCTCTCTATGCAGATGGAACTCCGAGAAGCTGCACAAGCAATAGAGCGACAAAGTGCAAATGCTGCCCCTTCAGAAAGACCATCGTCCAGCTTAAGCATGACGCCTCCGGATCGAAGTGGTGGGACACGGGGTAAGTTGGCAGAAAGAGAAGAGACAAGGGGGTCGGTCGACGGTCGTCAAACGGTTAGACCTAGGGTTGCCAACTTTCACTCGGGGTCTGGACTGTGGAGTGTATTTGACGATCACACTCTTACGTGACCATAGAGCGTATGTACGAAAAGTGCTCGTTTTGGCCAAAAATAAAAAAATTAAAAAAATAAAATGGGGTGACACCCGGCTTTACCTGCGGCTGCGGTCACACTACCGACCCCTTGTCTCTTCTCTTTCTGCCAACTTACCCCGTGTCCTACCACTTCGATCCGGAGGCGTCATGCTTCCAAGTACCTGGTTCCATAGAGAGAAACAACACAACTTAAGCCCCGCCTTGATGCAGTGATTGACAGGGCAGGAGGGGGCGTGATCGGCTCGGAATGCATTTTCAATGTGCACATTGAATTTTGCTACATTCATTGCGGGACATTTCATGAAAATGCAATCGCAAGTGTCTTGACTGTGAGTGTAAATGCAATTAAGAAAAATAACATTTGAATGATCATTTTGCCACAGTTTTTGCTTGAACATGCTACACATATCTAATCATTTCTGTAATGCATTTTCATTTTAATTTTGCAACTTATAAAGCGTTTCAATATGCATATTAAAACTAGTGTATGAAATTGAAAATGAAATTACATAATTTACATTTGCCTTTTCATTTTGCACCAAACGTTGCTAGAATGGTAATGTAAAATGTAAATTTAAATACAGAATGCAATGCCATTTTACATATTGCATTGTCATTTTGCATATTACATTTCAAATTGAATATTGCTACCCATATGCTTCCATAAGTGTCTGCCCATTTTAGAATGCAGACAGATTGGTCTGGGATGCCAACAGCTTTTTTTTTTTTTTTCTCCTGTAGATACAAATAAGAAAGATGTCATTGTATCTGAAAAAGGGAAAACTGCCAGTAACATAAGATTGATCTAGGGAGCAGTGCACAAGCACTGATACACACTTAGTTCTAGAGGATTTGTAGATGGAGAGTGATAAATGCAATCATTTTAGGTGGAAGTGTGGCACCCCCAACACCACCAGTGCGTGCCCCACGTGCCCATCCACTACGCCACTGCTTGGAAGGCTCCAGTGCTGATGGGTGAGTTGAGCTTATTAGAAGATAAAATATGGGGAAGGGTATGTTTCAGGAGGAAGATAAATGCATCAACAAAAATGCTTCTCCCCCGGTATTCATTAAGGGTTCAGAACTATATGGCAAGCCGTTTTAGCTTTAATTGTACCCAGCCTTACTCGTCGTAATTACATTTTTACTAATAATAATTCAATTAGAGAGCTCTACAATTCAATTCTTACTAGTAACAATTACAATTAGAGAGCTCTCTAATTCAATTATTACTAGTAACAATTACAATTGCAGAGCTCTACAAATGAATTCTTACTAGTCATATGTCTCCATTGACTTCCATTCATTTTTAATTACAGAGCTCTCTAATTGAATTGTTACTAGTAACAATTCCAATTAGAGAGCTCTACAATTCAATTGTTACTAGTAAGAATTACAATTAAAGAGCTCTGCAATTACATTCTTACTAGTAAGAATCGAATTAGAGAGCTCTCTAATTGTAATTGCTACTAGTACGAATTGAATTGTAAAGTTCTTTAATTAAATTCTTACTAGTAAAAATGAAATTACAACAAGTAAGGCTGGGTACAATTTAAGCTAAAACGGCTTGCCATAAGAACTAACGATAATAATCCTATACACATGCAGAATATATAATGAGCACTAGGTGGCACTAATGAACAAGCCGTCATTGAACCAAAAGAAGAAGATTAGGCTGACACGTACGGGACAAGCTGGCCAAGTCAGCATTGGGAAGAGGATGTTGATATAGAAATTCCATTAAAGTAAAACAGAAGTAAAATGTATTATTAAAACAGTAGTTGGAAATATGTGGCAAAAAGAATGGAATAAAAAGTCAAAAGGGAGACACCTATTCAGCATTCAACCTAAAGTGGAGATTGAAAACAGAAGAGAAGATACTGTTATGACCATGCTCTGTATAGAACACACCAACTTCTGCATTTATTGTGGAAAATCAGAAACGGTTGAACATTTCATTTTACACTGTAAGGCATATAAAAGAAAGAAATCAGCTTGTTGAAAAACTAAGAGATTTGGAAATTAGTTCAGAATATATTTCAGAATGCACAGAAACAGGGTGTACGATATTCTTCTAAAATATTTAAGAGATACAGATTTGATTAGAAGGATATATGTTTCTTTTCTTTTCTTTTTTTCTTCTCTAATTTTTGTTCCTTTCGTTCATCGAGGCTTCACACTCCATCCCAGTAGGTGGCAGAAATGCACATCAAGAACAAGAAGAAGACACACGTACGGCCGAAACACTAGGGGGCAGTAGGAAAATGTAATCGTTTCACCGACCAATGTGTATGAGCACAACGAAAAACTCAAGAAATGAAAAACACAAGAAACCATTTTTTATCGGATTTTTAAACATGTAAACAATTGAGTTTGTGTGGTCTTGATTAAGGTCTAGGATGGAGAATTTCAGAGGGCCGGTAAAAGCAGACTGCGAAGAACTACTGGCTCGTTTTCAGGCGACCGAGTCAGTTCGGTACGAGCAGTTTCTGGAGGTCTGGAGAGACATGAACTTCAGCAGCATCTTCTAGTGAGATTGACGAGCATCTTCAACATATGAAATCCCTCACTTTAGATTTAGCTAGTGACAATTTTATATGCATTGTTTTAAAATTACCTTTCAAATTAGATTAGAACCATCTTCTAAATCAGAGAAAGGGTTTACTAGGAGAGGCAGTCATACTTCTGCAGCAAAACTCATACTTGAGCTGCATAGAAGCCAGCCACTGCTCTTTGATATGTTGTTGAATGGTTATTCTAGGCCTATGTACTATTCTGTGTTTTTTTATATTTATACGTATAAAATGTATTATATATATTTATGCATTTTATGTACAATATTTATATATAATTTATTTATATTGTATATTGATGTTTTATTTGTATTGTATATTAAAATATTATTTTATTTATTCCAAATTAATATATTATATTTCATTGTATATAATACATTTATTTTGTCTCTTCTCTTTTCTGCAGTGGGAGACCAGAGGCAAATGAGAGAAGGTGTTTTACTCGTCTGATCATGTCTGTGGCGTCTCCATACTTCTTTCCACCCTATACTTTCCAGATTAGAGTGGCGGGGCTTTATCTGCTGTACGGGCTCTTCAACTCACAACTCATCACTCCCAAAGAGAAGGTGCGCTGTCATTCAACATCTAATCATTCTTTGCCAGCCTTCAAACAGCTTGCTGTTTGTCTAAAGGCAAATTCACACTGCACCGACAGACGCCGACATTTTTGTGACATATTTCAGTATGTCATTTATCAGACAAGAAAACAAGGGCCGGGTCGATTAACGGCAACAGACTGATCCGACAAAACACGATGAAGTATCTGTTGGTCGCTGCCTGCCGGTGCAGTGGGAATTGGCCTTTAGTGTTTCTGTTTAAAGTTGACATGGTGAGTAAATGATGATGGAATTTAGATTTTTGGATAAACAATACCTTTAAAGAAATATTTGACACAAAGATCATTCTAACTCGATTATATTGTATTGTAATTGTTTGACCATCTCTGTGCATGTCTGTAGATCCGCATTGCTCTGAAGGACTGGAAGGATGCCATGCAGTTTCAGAGGGATGCAATGAACGCTCAACATTATGATGTGGTTTATATCCTCAGGAAGCTCCTGTCAGATAAAGCTTTCTACTTCACGGCCATGCCAACACCAGTAGGTTAATAGCTCAGTGCTCATGTATCCAAACTGGATACAAGACACAGTGTTACTACTTAAAACTAAAAGCTGGAATACACTACACAACTTTTGTCCTGATTTGCAGTCTGGAGAAGTTGATCCTGCAAGTTGCTGGAATTCAGAGTAGAGTTGTCGAAAAGTACCGACTTCGGTACCAAGTAACTGAAATTTTAAAATGTGACGATAGTATACCAGCATTTTCCTCTAGCATTTTGAGCGCTGTTGAATGGATACTTAAAACAGACACATATATGTTGAGCGTGTCCACACAGTGGCCAGTCAGAGGTTGTCAAGAATCCGTTCAACAGCGCTCAAAATGCT